GATTCACTAAAGTTTCTAGTTAATTAGAAAGTTTAGTGAATCAGCATAACAACTAAACTTTCTTACAATCATACAAAAGTAAACAAAATACATTTGTATTTTTCTTCAAGAAATTATTGCTTTCGAAAGCAATTATATTAGTAGTTATGTTTCTTACTCCTGAGTATGAGTATATATATGGATAAGATTTAGGTTCCATATATTGAAGATCTATGTTAGATACGATACCAAGTTTAAAGTGACTTTTCGGACACCCTGCAATGCATAAAAATGGTTTGACTTCTATACATTATTTTTTGTAAACGCTGAATCATTTTATCGTCATTAGATTAACCATTTTAATGATTAATCAGAAAGCATTTTACAGGGTTGTTTGTGATAGTTTTTTGCCACTTTAATGATGTAAATTTTCGATCATTTTAATGCCATTTTCCCGTTGCAAATTTTGGCTGGGTAATGCTTTCACGTTCAAAATTTGACAAGCTTTTAATTCATTGTTAATAAACACAATTATTTTTAGATTCTATTTAGCTGACAAATAAGTTTTAACATGACGAGTGCTAACATTACATGCCAAATTCTTGTGTTAGGCTATACCGGTAGTGGTCGAACAACATTAATAAAAAAAATTATTGGTGAAAATATTGTACATGAAACTATATCTGGAACAAATTATGAGCAAATAAAATGCTTGGATAAACATTTAACGTTTATCAAAACATCAACATTTGAAACAAATGATAAAAGTTGGTATGAAGTACAAGAATTTATTCGAAATGATTTACTTCCAATTCATGCTATTTGGTTATTATTACATTATCAATCAGATATTGATGAGAATTTACTTAATCAATTAAAAATGTTACCACGTGCACCTTCATTTATCATTTTAAATAAAACAGATTTTTTACAAAGTCATTCTTTTTGTTGTCAATCAGAACTTGAAAAATATATGAAGTATTTTGATGATACAAATCAAAATGATTTTCCGAATTATTTTCGAAATAATCAAATATTAATGGTTAAACGTGAATATTTAATGAAATGGAAAATGAACAATGAAGATGTAATTAATCTTCAACATATTTTTTTAATGTCGTTAATTGATAAAGATGAAACTCATCGTTCAATTGGTGTGAAAACATTACTAGAAGAAACAATTCGTGTAGTTGATGTATCCGAACAATTACGAAGTAAAACATACTTTTAATACTAATTTATCTTCATCTAGTTAGTTCATGTAGATATTTTGAAATCAGAAACCAATTTCCATGACACA